AATCTGCTGAGCGATTTGGCCAGCCCCATAGTATCTGTTGTAACTTTGACATTTTATTTACTCTTTCAGGTTCTTATGCTAGATAGATGATATAATGTTTGCACATGTGGGTCTGATTTATTTCACTTAGGAGTATGATTTCTATTTGCATTCATTTATCTATAAAAGCCCCAAGTTTATCATTTTCATAGCTTAGTAATATTCCATTGTGTAAATATACCGTGTCTTTTTTTAATGTATTTCTCAGCTGATGGGCATTTGGGTTGTTTCCATGATTTAGCTATGACAAATTGTGCTGCCAAAAACATGGGTGCACATATATTGCTGTGATATGATATTTTCAGTTCCTTTGAAAATATACCTAGCAAGGGAATAACTGGCTTAAATGGGAATTCCAACCCTAGCTTTTTGAGAAAACTTCATGCTGATTTTCACAGAGGTTGTACTAGTCTGCACTCCCGGCAACAGTGCAGAAAGGTTCCTTTTCCCCACGGCCCCTCCAGCCTCTGTTATTGGCTGACTTCTTGATGACAGCCATTGTTTCTGGCATGAGATGGAATGTGTGTTGTTTTAATTGGCAATTAAATGACCAATGATGTTGAAAATATTTTCATATATTTATTTACCATTTGTAGTTCTTCATCTGAGAAGTGTATATTCACCTCAGATGCACATTTTTGGTTGGGTTTTTGAAGTTTGGGAGACTGATTTTTAAGAATTATTCATATGTCCTAGACAAAAGTTCTTTTTCTGGGGTATAGTCAGCTATAACTTTTTAAATTTGTGGTTTTTACTTTTTACTATGTTGGTGATTTCTTCTGGTGTACAGAAACTTTTCAAAAAGAAGAGATCCCAACTGTTAATTCTTCAAAGTATTTCCTGTGCTGTTATTCTTTCATAAACTCTCTACCTACCCTTATCTTGTTAAAATTTCTATCTACTTCTTCCTCCAGAAGATTTAGTGTTTCTGTTTTAATATTTAAATCTTTGATCCATTTGGACTTTAGTTCAGTGCATGGTGATATAAAGGGTCTAATTTTTGACTCTGGCATGTGGAAAGCCAGTTTTTTCAGCATCATTTATTAAAGAGCCTATCTTTCTTCCAGTCAACATGTTTGGCCTTTGTCAAATATAAGGTGGTTCAGTGTGTTTCTGGTTGTGTCTGCACCTTCTAATCTGTTCCCTTGATCCTCTGGTCTTTTTTTTATTTTATTTTTTTGCCAGTACCATGCTAAGTTTTTTTCACAGTAGCTTTGTAGTATAATTCCAAGTCAGGGATTGTGATGCCTCCTGTCTTTCCTTTGTGGCCCAGGAAGGATTGCTTTTGCTATTCTAGTTCTAGTCTGGCTCCAGATGAATTTTAGCAATGTTTTTTTTCTAGATCTGCGAGGTATACCAATGGTATTTTTATCAGAGTTGGGTTGAATCTGTATAACAATTTTGGGAATATGGCCATTTTCAAAAAAATTGGTTCATATTATCCAGGAACAAGAAATATCTTTCCGTTTTCTGAAATTCTCTTTGATCTCTTTTTTCAGAGTATTATAATTTGTGCTGTATATATTTTTACTTCATATGCAAGATTAATTCATATGTATTTCATTATTTTGTATGTTATTGTAAAAGGCACCTTTCACTAATATCTTTCTTGGGGCATTCACTATTTGTGTGCAAAAATGCTGTTGACTTTGAGCATTAACTTTGTATCCCATTGAGCTACTGAATTTGGTGGTTAAAAGTAGAATAGAAGTCTCTCATTGGAGTTTTTGGGGTCTTCTATGTAGTGTATCATGTCATCTGGAAGTAATGATCATTTCACGTCTTCCCTTCTTATGCTTATTCCTTTTATGTCTCTCTCTTGTCTAATTGCTCTGGCTAATGTTCCCAGCACTGTATTGAATAGGAGTGGTGACAGTGGGCATCCTTGTCTTGTTCCTGATTTTAAAGTGAAGGCTTTTGATTTTAGTTTATTACATATGATGTCAGCTGCTGGTTTATCATAGATGGCTTTTATCAGGTTAAGGTAAAGTCCAATTATTCTGATTTTCTGTAGGGTTTTTTTTTTATCATGAATGAGTGTTGGACTTTCTCAAAAGCTTTTATTGTATCTATTGAGATGATCATGTGATTTTGGTCTTTGGCTCTGTTGTTGTGGTATATTACACTATGGATATATGTGTATTAAACTATCCCTGCATTCCTGCGATGAATCCAAGAGTAATGTATAATGATGAATATTCTTCTTGATGCTTTGTGTCATTCTGTTTGCTAGTGTTTTATTGAGGAGTTTTGCATCTCTGTTCATTAGGGAGATTGGCCTGTAGTTCTCTTCTTTGGTTGGGTCTTTATCTGGTTTTGGTAGTACTTGCCTTCAGAAATGAATTTGTGAGAATTGCTTCCCTTCAATTTCATTGTAGAGTTAGAGAAGAGTTGGCCTTAAATCTTCTTTAAATTTTATGCAGAGTTTAGCTGTGAACACACTAGGACCTGTACTTGTTTTTGTTGGTAGGATTTTTGTATTACATTTTGATTTTCATTCCCTAATATTGGGTTATTCAGAATTTTTATATCTTCTTGATTCACTTTTAGTAATTCATATGCATCTAAGAATCCATCTGTTTCTTCTGTGTTTTCCTCCTTTGTTGAATGAATTGAATTTATTTTCTTTGTCAATAGTTAGTAGTTGTCAATTTTATTTAATCTGTCAATGAACCAACTCTTCAATTCACTATTTCTTTGTACTGTTTTTGTCATCTCAATTGCATTAATTTCTTCTGTGTTCTTTGTAATTTCCTGCTTTCTTTGGGCTTTGAGCTTGACTTGGTTTCCCTTTTCTAGGAGATTGAGTTGCAGTATAAGATTATTTGGGCTCATTATGTTTTCCTGATGTGCGAATTTAACACTATAAATTTCCCTGTTAAGATAGCTTTCATTATATCCCCCCAGTTCTGTTAAGTTGTATCTGCATTTTCATTTGATTGTAAATATTGTTTAATTTCTTCTTTAATTCATCTGTTATCCTTTGATTGGTGAGGGTGGTGTTGCTTAATTTCCATGTGTTTATGGAGTTTTTGCTATTTTTTGTCAATAATTTCCAGTTTCATTTCACTATGTTGAGAGAGTATGCATAGGATAATTTCAATTCCTTTCCATTTATTTAAGCATGCTTTTTATGCTACTATATGATCTTTTTTTGGAGAATCTTCCATGTGCAGCTGAGAACAAGGTGTGTTCTGACATTGTTGGGTGCACCACTCTGTAAAGGTCTCCTAAGTCCATTTCTTCACAGGTTTAGTTCTGTTATTTCTTTGCTGATTTTCTGCCTTGTTGATCTGTCTTTTGTGTCAATGGGTGCTAACGTGTCCCATTATAATTGTATTACTGCTCAATTGATTTTTTTATGTCTGTTAAATACTGTCTTAAGTAGTTGGGTGCTCTTACATTGGCTGTACATATATTTATAATTGTTATTTCTTCTTCTTGCAGCTTTCCCCTAACATGTATGTAGTGACCTCCTGTATCTCTTTTAATGATTCTTGGTTTGAAGTGATATTGTCAGCTACGCCACACTCTCTCCCCAACCAGGGTGTGGTACCTCCTCTGTGGAAATCTCTCAAATTGCTTTTAGTGACAAGAGAAGGGATGCTCATCTCTACTTCATTGGAAGCAAAACCACTTCCTTCAATTCTCTTTTTAAAAATTGTGTCTGTTTGTAAGCAGTACAAGAGAGAAACTTAATGTTCAGCTTTTAGAAATAAGTGTTTGGCAATGCTGGGGAAAGAACCCAAAGGATATATTTAATGTCAACACATAAAAATGCCAAATAACTTTCTTTTACCTGGTACCAGGGACTGAACTCAGTACCTTGCCCTTGCCAGGCAGGCATTTATGCTACTGAGCTATCTCCCTGGGCCCTCTACATTTTTATGCTGGAAATTGAACCTAGGACCTATAATTTCTTTATAGAAAGTAACCTGATTTTAATTTAAAAAAATTTTTATTTATTTGTGTGTGTGTGGCCAGCTCAGCCCACCAGGGGGCGGGGCTGGCTGGCATGTGGTGCTGGGGGATTGAAACGCGG